GGCAGCAGACCAATTCATCACTGTTGTAGGTGAACGATGGAAGTGGGAAACAGACTGGGACTGGGATACACTCTCTATCGCAGATTAGAAAAGCTCACAGGATTGGTTCTGGGGCCCTCTGACCACCTTGGTAGGGATATGACACATGACCATGCAGGCCTGATACCCCAGTTTCCATTAAGGGCTCACCCAGGCAAGTCCCCAAGGATGAGTCTGCCCCTCCCTGGGCTGTCAAGGGGAGTCTTAGTAATAATCCGTTTTCAAAGTCACTCTGGGGGCAGAGTGAACTCAAAGAACTCAAAGGAGGCTGAATTTATGCAGAAGGCTCAAAATGGGCTTCGATTGTAAAACTTTCCACTAACCAAGTGATTAGAATTTAAGCTCTAAAGTGCTGTAGGATAAGCACTGGACTGCTAACCAAAAGGTTCGTGGTTGAAAACCACCTGCTGCTCCTTGGAAACCCTATATAGGTTCACTGAGTTCACACCACCACCACTGCACTATAGAAACACATTTGCAGTTTTTAGAACTGCTGGCTTAACAGACAGAGATGGACACCCACCCCACCCCCATACTATGAGCAAACAGCCAACTGACCTAATAGTAGGGGCAGCTGCCACTTACCAAGCACCTGCCCAGCGCTAGGCACTTTTCTCCAGTTTTATGGATGTGAAGACTGAAGTGCAGAGAATATGAGGAAGTTATCTTGTTCAAGGTCATGAGCTATTAGTACCCCAGCAGTCTGACTCCAAAGTCTCCAGTGGATTACCGTTATTATTTAAAACAAAATACCTTGATTTCTTTCCTAATAGCATCATAAAATCATCTCCCCCATTATAAGAAAGCTTTTAAGATGCTGCTTCTGTTACACAAAGCCTTGGATGCATTGAGTCAGTTCTAAAATCATGGCTGTTGGTGTGTGAATGGTGGTGGGAAATCTGCGGGGGCCTGGCACTCAAGTAGTTAAGGAAATGACAATTTCAACAGATTTCTGCCAAGCTCCTTTATTGATAGCCCAGCAGGTGTTTCTCCATTAAGACACAGAATATTAATGGAGCCCCTGATTTACATTCTCGGCTTGATTTACACACGGAGGTTTTGTTATGTGCCAGCCTTTGTCCCCAAGTATTAATTCTACTAAATATTTCCCAGTCAGTTGCTTCTGGATCTCTCCAAGGAATGAGCAATGATAATACAGCCTGTACCTGTTATTTTGCCAGCATCTCCATTTCATCAATTTATGGCAAGAGGTAAAGCTGGCAAGTTTAGTAACAACAGAGCGGGTACACAGTTTGAATATTTCCCTTTCCTATTAGGAGACGGGACTATTCTGCAGTCGGGACCCAACTCTTTCTGGTGGTAAAGGTTGTAAAGCATCATCTCAAGAAAACAAGATACAGGTCTCAACAAAGTTAATTATCTTAACAAAGTTAATAGCAGAGCCTGAGCTCCCAGTGGAGTAACTGCCTAAGTCATGTGGTCTTAGGAAAAGAGTCTCGTGAGAGAATGCATTTCATGAAAGTGAGTTCATTCAGCTCCCACACAACCCTATGAGGTGAGCACCAGCATCATGGCTATCTTACAGATGAAGGATCTGAGATGCACAAAAGACAAGTCATTGGTCTAAGGTGTGTGTCTTCTAGGGTCTGATTTTTCCACCTAATCATACCTAGGAACCCTGACAGTATAGTGGGTTACATGTTAGGCTGCTAACTGCAAGGTCAGTAGTTCTAATCCACCAGCTGCTTCGAAAGAGAAAGATGAGGCTTGCTGTTTCCATATATACAGCCTTGGAAACCCTATACAGTGTTGCTATGAATTGGAACCGATTTGATGGCACGAAGCAGCAGCAGGTCACAGTTCAGCTTCATCTTGGGCAAATCACTGTAGTCCCTGGATTATCTCCCTTTTGTAAAATAACACGATGGGTACCTGTTTTAGCAAACCTACAAGGCTTCTGTGAGCCAGCCAATCTCGTCATGCAACCAGACAGACCAGAAGGGCCTCACTGAGGGGACATCGCACCTGGCCTGAATTAGGCATTCCTGCCAGTCAGATGGTATGTGGCAGGTTTAATTCCCTCTTCAGACCAGTTTTCCATCTGTGACAAGGGGACTGGACAGGCAGGCTCCAAGTTCTCCTCCTGTTCGGAAATGCTATGGTCTTATATCATCCTCAAATCATCATTCGTACATCTATGAAGAGTTTAAAATTAATTGGATCTCTATTCTTGGGATTTAGTTTTAAAAAGTGCTTACACAAGACTAGTCTTCCATAAATAAGTAAGCTTATGGAGCACAAATTTAAAATTTCAAAAAAATTTAAAGCACCCGTGAACTCTCATTTCTCATAGACTTCATGCCAACCTGATTAAATAGACATAAATAATTCAGTTTTATTTACTGAAATTGTTTTTGCTGAGGCAGAGGCCATGCAGTGTAGCAGGAAGGGCATATTTGGGGGCAGTCGTGAAATTCCGGAGTCCTGGTGTGGTGCTAGAGGATAAGCACTGGATAGCTGACTACATGCTTGGGGGTTCACACCCATAAGCCACTCCTTGGAGGGTTCCTATGAGTTGGGACCAACTAAAGAGTACTTAATAACCGTCAAGATTCTAGCTCTGCATCCTAAAGTTGCTTAAACTTAGCCTCAGGTTTCCTCCTCTGCAGGAATAAGAGCATGTACCTTGCAGAGTTCTACGTGAGTGCTAGTGGCGCTATGGCTTGGGCATTGGGCTACTAACCATCAAGTTGATGGTTCAAAACCATCAGCTGCTCCTCAGAAGAAAGATGAGGCTGTCTGCTCCCATAATGGATTTGAAGTCTCCAAAACCCCATATAGGGTCACTATGTGTTGGAGTAGACTCGATGGCACTGGGTTTGGGTTTGCAGAGTTGTAAGGTATGGAAACTCATAGTGGCACATGGAAAACCCTCAACAAATAAATGACCAGACCATTAAAAGTGGAAAGCTCCCAGCAGTCTGAAAGTACACAAACTATAGTAGCCTGCTGGGTGGGGTGGAGCTGGTGGTGGTGGTGGGGCACTACCCTTTTGCCAGAAGCTCTGAATCAACTTTGATTACAGTTGGGAGCTTTAAAATTCATGAGGGCTGCCATACCTCAGATCTTCATCAGAACCTGAGTGGGACCCAGGTGACTCCAACATAGTCAAGGGTAAGGTCCCCTGCCCACACAGTCTAGCCTTTCCAAGTCTACTCTCAGAACCTATATATATATATATCCTGACCTGCAAATCTCCAGAATGCCAAAGGAAGCTGGACCTCATTAGGGTCCTGTGTATATACATTAATTAAGAAATGGATGGTGTGTTTGGGAGATGGAGTTACTACAGCAGAGACAAGCTGCCAGAAAGCTTGTTAGCAGGTGGAACAATGAGCCAAAACAAGAACTTCAATGCACTAGGAATGAGCCCAGGACTCAGGCCTCTGGGAGCTAACCATCAACCACACAACAAACAGTATACAAAATAAAGAAGGAATGTGATCGATGCCGTAAGGCAAGATGTCGTGTGATACAAACCACTTCCAAGAGCTGCCACAAATGCTTTGAACGGCTTTGAACTTGGCCTATAGATTCTTGTTATATTAGAAACCCTAGGAATTCAAGGATAGGGCACCTGATTAGGCTCCAAATTTGATGTACAAGCTCAAAGAAAGGGGCAGGCACTTGGTGGAAGCTCAAGTTCACGCCCAGCTTTCACAGAGCACTGGTAGAGACCATCTCTAATACTCACCCCTGTGAGACCCTCTAGGTCCAAATCTGTACAAGGTCACATGGCAGTTAAAGCCTGCTGTCCCTGATACACATGGGAAAAATGGCTACAAATAGTTCCCAACCACCCAATGTTTGTTTTTTGTTGCATTTTGGTGGTGATTGTTTTTGAGTGGGGTGTATAAAAAGTGTTTTTTTAAAGAAAGAAAGAAAGAGGAAGAAAGGCTCAAGAGAGAAAGCCATCACAGTGTTAAAATCGCAAGGCCACTGTTTCCAGGTAACACGCAAGGCGCATTCCAACAGATTGACTTTATTCAATCAATACTACATGATCTCAGAGCTTAAGCTGTCTCAGTAGGGTCAGGTCTCTGGAGGTAGTTTTTGGATTGAGTCATCAGTTAATCATATTAACTTTCTGGTTACCTTAGACTGTGGAGGGTCAGAGGAACCATCCCTGCCTGTCATGAACTTCTCATGGAACCAACCACACAGGACAACTGTTGAGACTTTACAAATCTAGTACCAATTTCACACGTTACAGATGGGAAACCAAGGTCCCCGAAGAGGAAGGGGCATGTCCAAGTCACCAGTGAGCTGGCATTAGTGTCAGATCTCCTGACTCTTTGCCCGGCACCCAGAGCCCAGCTTCTCAATAGAGGAGGTCTGAGGAGCCTGTTCTCTGGCCGAATGCTGAGGTCTCTGGTCACAGACTGTTGAAACCTGGAGGGAAAGCCAGCTGAGAGAAGGATAGTGACTCACTCCAGGAACAAAACTAGAACTTAGGTTTCTTTTCTTTCTCTCCGCCTGCTGATAGAAACTTCCACCAATGGAGTGATATGTGGTAGCATGGTCAGTCCCAACAAATAGACCAAGTTAATAACTGTAAACACAAATCATCTGAACAAATGAGTGGAGAAGAGCTGGCTTTCCTAACATGGTCTGGAGGAGGCCTGCCTGGGTGGTGCAAACAAATTAGACATTCAGCTATTAACCAAAAGGTTGATAGTTTAAGTCCACCCAGAAGCATCTCAGAAGAAAGGACTTGGCAATCTACTTGTGAAAAAGTAGCCACTGAAAACCGTATGGAGCACAGTTCTACTCTGACACACGTAGGGTCACCATGAGCCTGAGTTGATTTGACTACAATTGGTACTGGTTAACAGAGTCTCACCTTTCATGAGCTGCTCAGTTTCTGACGAGACCAGCCCAGGGCAGGTCTCTCTAGAGGAAAATGCAGCCTTAATGAGAACACCAGGGCTTCGGGGCACTTAGACGACTTGCACCCGACTCAGTAATTCCACCACACCTTCTTTGGTGAGAAAGACCACTTCACTGGTGTTCTGGCACCAAACCTCAAAATGTGAAGGGTCCTCCAGAGCCCTCTTGCCAGCGATGATCACAAAGGGGTAGCCAAGCTTGTTGGCGTCTTTCAGTCTGTTTCCAATGGTCAGATGAGCCCTGTCGTCCAGAAGGACCTCGCCATGAAGCTGAGGCACCGCCTCTGCAATGTGGTCATACAGATTCCCCATGAGCTCTGTGGCCACTTCCTCCTTGCTGCCCCTCTTAGGGGGAATGAGGCAGACTTGGTAAGGGGCCAGGAGGCCTGGCCAGCGAATGCAATCCTCTGTAGAGAGGACTTCAATGGCGGCAGCCAAGATCCGTGTCACACCCAAGCCATAGCACCCCATTTCAGCCAGCGACGGTTTGCCGTGGATGTTGGCAAACTGGGCATTGAAAATGGAGGAGTACTTGGTACCCAGGTAAAACGTGTGGCCCACCTCAACGCCTCTGGTTTCGGTCAGCAGTCCCTGGCACACAGGGCAGTTGGCTTGTGCCGAGTCTAGTGTCTCCTTGTTGGCTGCGAAGCTGCAGCTGGGACAGACTGCAAGTAGGTCCTCACCAATGTCCACTGGTAGCTGGAACTCATGAGACATTGTGCCCCCTATGCTGCCCACGTCCGCCTGGACCTGGACGAACGGCAGCCCCAGCCTGCTAAACAGGCTGCAATAGGCACCACACACCAGGCTGTAGGTCTGCCTGGCAGCCTCTGGGGAACAATCAAAGGTGTACATGTCCTTCATGTAAAACTCTCGGCCTCGGAGAAGACCAAAGCGGGGCCTGGGCTCGTCCCGAAACTTCCTTGTCACCTGGTACAGCAGGAGCGGGAGCTGCTTGTAGGACAGTGTCTTCTGAGAGGCAACCAGAGCCGTGATAGCTTCCTCATGAGTTGGTCCTAGGCAGTATTCTTTCCCGTGTCTGTCTCTAAGTCTCAGCAGCTCCTTGCCCATCAGGTCCCATCGGCTGGTGGCTCGCCAGAGCTCTGCTGAGCTGAGGCTGGGCATGTTGACCTTCTGCCCCCCGATAGCCTGCATCTCCTGATCTATTGCCCGCACGAGCTTCTCCATGGCACGCACTGTGTAAGGCAGAAGGTGGTAACAGCCGGGGTTCGCCGGGTGGATCAGGCCCACCTGAAGCATCAGTCGCTGGCTCTTACAGGTCAGCTCGCCAGATCTGCCCTCCAGGGACAGCAGCTGGTCTTCTCGCAGGTTCTGTGGCTGGAACATGCAGGACAGTACTAAACGTTTCCCTCTCCCTGGGGCACAGTGGTGACGCCTGCAGGTGGCCCGGCTCCACAATGCTCTCCATCTTGTTAGCAGGCCTTCCATGGCAGCCCGGCATCGGGAAGCCTTCACACCTGCAGAAATATGAGTTGTACAGAGTAAGCGTTGAATGTGTTCCCACACCAGGAAGTTGCTGGTGAAGTCTGGCCTCCAACAAATTTCTTTTATAGCCACTGACTTTGCAGCTACAGATTCTTTCATTTCTAATATCCTAGCAAACCAGAGTACTACTTTTCTTATTTCTGACTGCCTTCTTTTTTTTTTTTTTTTTTAAGATTTACCTAATTTTTATTTTTTTACATGCACTGCATTTTTTCAAATTATAGAACATCATTACCTTTGCAGAAATGGGTTTTGCTTTAAAAGTACTCCTCATATGTTTGCCTTTTGTTTTTTTTAAGTTTTTATTGTGAACTGAGTGAGTTTACAGGGCAGATCATCAGTTTTACATTCAACAAATCATATACTTTGTTTCATTACAATGATTATAATCCCCTCCATGAACCATCAGTTAACAGTATTTCTCTCTATTCATTTTAGCTCTTTTTTTTAAACACTCAGGAATATATAATAATTTACACCACCAAAGGGTGCATTCTGCAAGTCTGCCTCCTGGCCCCCAGCTCTCAGTCCCTCTCTTCCCATGAAGACGCTCCCTCTCTCCATGTCCCCCCATCTCTGCCATGTCCATCTCTGGCATGACTGCTTCTCTGGATAAGGTCCCGCATTCCGCTTGTGCTCTTCTCCCTTGATGGTCCTTGGGTCCTCTGTTTCTGGACTGTAAGATTAACTACTCCCTTTGTTACAAAACTTCTGCCTTTACTGACTGCCATTTTTAAAAGTTAATATTTTTCCAGTTCTGAAAAAAATAACCATACACTACGGAAGGAGACCACGGTGCATGGATTAAGAGCACAGGCGTGGCAGCAGGGAGCCTGGATGCTGTCAGTTGCCCCTGTTGGCAGCCTGAGGGAATTGTGACATGGGACTCAGTCCTCTGTGCTTACTTTCTTCGCTGTCTGTAAGTGGTGAACACACACCACCTTCCTTGTCAGAAGAATTGTGGGAAGGTCTTAGATCAGGATCTGGTATGTACCATGAGCTCAATGTTTGCCATTATTATTATTATTATCCAAAATTGGGGGGGGGGGTAAGAAATGAGCAACCACACACACAAAACCCTAGCCATAATCCCTCTGCCCAGAGACAATCTTTGCTGACATTTTGTTGCCATTCTGTTTTGCAAGCCTTTGTCCTTTGACAAACTATTAAACACTTGGCTACTAACTTAAAACAAGGTTGGCGGTTTGAATCCACGCAGAGGGCCTTGGAAGGAAAGTCTGGCAATTGACTTCTCCAAGATCAGCCAATGAAAATGCTATGGAGCGCCGTTCTACTCTGCAACACCTGAGCTGGGTGATGCTGGATGACAACTGGCTCTGTCCTTGGCCCACCCCTCAAATGCGGTATCTCCTCCTCCTTAGAGTTCACACCCTCCCTGCTCAGGGCACAGGTTGTGAGTCCGACTCAACTTCTTCACTCTCAGTGGCTCTTGAGCTTCAGACCTATACATTCTTCCACCTCCCGGAGAACACCTTACAAAGGTACTTCACCGTCCCCAGAATGAGCCCAGGCTTCTCCCAGGGCCATCACTCCAAATGCTGCTTCCCCTTGTCTGCAGTGCCACAACAGTGGCCTTCTCACTGACCTCCCAGCTTCCACTCCTGCCCTGCACCAATGCACGCTTCACACCAAAGCCGCGGGAGGTACTTCCGGAACACAGCCCGGAATACTTCCTCTAATGGCTTCCCAGTGTCCTTAGGATCAGATCTACACTCCTGGCCTTGGTGGTATCCATGGTCCATGTGAAGTGGAAGTTAGGCCCCTCGGCCTCATCTCTCATCATTGCCTTCTCTGATCCCGCTGCGCCACACCCACTCCTAAACGCATTGGCCCCTCTGCATCCAGCATTCCCCTCTGCTGACATCTATCCATCCTCCAGGCCTTGGGATTACCATCCTATCCCTAGAAAGCCTTCTCTGACCTCCTCTCCATACCCCAAAAAGCTGGTTTCTCCTGCAGCAGCCCACTTGCCCATCCCTTATGAACACCAACCACCCTTGGAGGTTACTCTCCCCAATTTTCCCGCAGACACTCTGCTCTGAACAGGCAAGAAGCATACCTAATTTGCTCACCATTGTATCTTCAGCACATCGCAGGAGTGTACTAGACACTGTTTTACAAAACAGCCACACATTTATAATGGCAGGACAGCATTCCGCTAAGTAAGAATATCAAACACAACAACCACCATTAGAGTTGTCAGTTTTTCTGTTATACACACTCTAAGCTGGACACTCGTGGGTGGTGCACACCAAAAGGGTGCTAACCAAAAAACTGGTGATTCAAATCTTCCAGAGGCACCTTGAAAGAAAGGCCTGGTGGGCTTCCAAAAAAAACTCAGGCCCTGAAAATCCTATGGAGCACAGTTCTACTTTTACACACATGGGGTTGTCATGAGCAGGCAACTGGTTCAGATGAGCACAAGGCTTTTTTCATATATATATTTGTTGCTGTTGTTATATACCAGAGAGGATGTAGGAGTAAGAAGATACTTAGAGCTATTTGTAGTGTTAGGGTTATGGTTAAGGATAGGGTTAGTGTTAGTGTTAGGGGTAGGGGCTGGGCTATGGTAGAAGTAGGGCTTAGTCTAGTTTTAGGGTTATAGTTAGATTTATTAATTTTTCTTATGTCTATTTAGCATTTGGGGAGCATGGCGGCTCTATAGTATTAGCACTGGACTGCTAACCAGAAGGTCGGCAGTTCAAACCCACTAACTGCTCCGTGGAAGTAAGATGGGGCTTTCTGCTCCCACAAGATTTACAGCCTTGGAAACCTTACACAATGCTGCTATGAGTTAAGAGCTTAGCAACTATATTTAACCTTTGGATATTCTGTTTGAAAAATGTTAGATATTTTGATATTTCCTAATGCAAGTTCTAATTGATTTCTTAGATGATTTTTTCTAGTTTATTGAAGTTTGCTTTGTGGCCCAACATATTCTGGAGAATGCTCCAGCGATGAAGAAAATTACACACAAAAAATTTCACAAAGTGAACTCGGCACAGAAAATTATGTGGTACAAAAAACCCAGCAGCAAAACACACAAAAAACATGCAGTGAAATGTCAGCCATCAATTCCTCCCTATCAATAATTACACTGGATGTCAGTAGGTTAAACACACTCATCATGAGACAGAGTAGCTAAATAGGAAACCACGATCCGTCGATGATCGGTCAATGTGCTGTCTACATGAGGTACACCTAAGACACTACACAAAAATACACTAAAAAATGAAAGGATGGGAGATTTGCAGGAATGGAATACGAATGAGAGTATAAAGTCTTTTGGTTCTTAACTTAAGATTGCCAAATTTAGTACTCTACTTCTCAGCAAAGCTCTATAAGCTGCCGTCTCCTCTCTGCCCAGAATGGGTTACTGATTCCTCTCAGGTGTGGGAGCTGGAATGGTTTTCGCCAGCTTTTAGCAGCTTCAAGTCCTCCAGATGGTCACCTTCAACCTCAAGCAGCTTCAGCCATCTCTCCTGTGTATTGCACAAGTATTATTTCCTATGTGGCCTTTGACCTGGAGAAGGTTTGGAGGCACTGCCACTTTGGTGACAAGAGACATGTGGCTTCACATCTGGCTCCATCACTTAGTGTGACCTCAGACCAGTGGCGTAAGCTAGGAACTCCTTCACCCTGAACTCATTTCCTAAAGCAAATGAGCCTGTTTCTATAGCCTCGCTCAAGTTGGCCCGCTTGTTCTTTCCCACTTACTGTCTCAATTCTGGGATAGCCCCTCAACATGGCTTGCTATGTGACAGTAGCCCAGTGGCTTTCAAACTCTATCAGAATCACCTGGAGGGCTTGTTTAAAAAGACTACTGGGCCCTGCTCAGTAGATCCGTGATGTAGGCCAAGACTGTGCATTTCTAATAAGTTCTTCAAAAGGCTGACAGAGCTGGAGCCTAACTCTTCACTTGCTGATTTTGACCATAAACTCCATGAAGGCAGTTGTTAAGTGCTGTCGAGTTGGTTCTGGCTCATAGAGTCCCTGTATACAGTTTCCGAGGCTTTTAAAATCTTGGTGGGAGCAGAAAGCGTCATCTTTCTCCCACAAGCGGCAGTGGGCTTGAACCACCAGCCTTGTGGTTTGTAGTCCTGTGCTTATCTTATGGAGCCACAGTGTACCTCACTGGACGCGGTAGACACTTAATGGATTATCAGTGAATGAAGCGAATGATCCTTGACCCATATCAGTCTGAAAAACACCCCAAACATTTTCTCTTTACAGCCAGCGCCAAGTGATGAGCCATCTCCAGGGACAACTGAAACAAGCCGCAAGACCAAGGGCAAGAGAAAGCCCTACCACAAGAAGCGGAAGTATGAGCTGGGACGCCCGGCGGCCAACACTAAGATCGGCCCCGCCGCATACACACAGTACGTGTTAGAGGAGGTAACAAGAAGTACCAGGCTCTGAGGCTGGATGTGGGGAACTTCTCCTGGGGTTCTGAGTGTTGTACCCGGAAAACAAGCATCATCAAAATTGTCTACAATGCGTCCAATAATGAGCTGGTCCGCACCAAGACCCTAGTGAAGAACTGCATCGTGCTCGTTGAGAGCACACAGGACCGGCAGTGGTACGAGTCCCACTATGCACCGCCTCTGGGCCACAAGAAGAGAGCCAAACTGATTCCTGAAGAGGAAGAGATATTAAACAAAAAGTGATGAAAGAAATTTCAGAAAAAATACCATGAAAGGCAAAAGAATGCAAAAATCAGCAGTCTTTTGGAGGAGCAGTTCCAGCAGGGCAAGCTTCTTGCATGTATCGCTTTAAGACCAGGCCAGTGTGGCCGAGCAGATGGCTATGTTCTAGAGGGCAAGGAGCTGGCCTTCTATCTGAGAAAAATCAAGGCCCGGAAAGGCAAATAAAGCCTCCTTCCTCACATTCAGCACATGTATTAAAGGTATTTATTCTAAAAA